GTTAGACTTGGCATCACTTTTGTACCAATGAATTTCCAAGAGAGCTGATTGCTTTTTTAACATACCGAGAACAGATATTTACCATTTGCAGCTGGTATCTTCAAATATCCCAGCCCTGCCTCCAGAGAGGAATTGATGGGGAGAATGTGGTTTTGCTCCTGTAATCAAATGTCTGAATAAAAGCTTTTCCTAAGGAAGTTATGAAGACACCATCATGAACAACAATCCCAGTATTATACCTGTTAAATTAAACCGAGGCAACCCTATGTGCTTGCTACATTTTTTAAATATTATTTTTAAAATAGAAAAGTCCTTCCTTTCAGAATTCCAACAGTCTTTCTCCTCTTTCCTTCCACTACATGACGAGATACTGGGCACTTCTATATTCACCTTGGGCTACTGTTCTTTGTCTACAAATCAGCTAAATAAGACATAACATAGTTTCTAAAATGAGAATAATGCCCTTAAATGCTGTACATATATCCTGTATTTTCAGGTTTCTCTTGATGGGTTGGACAGTTAATTGATTAAGCCATCTGCAAAGCTTGTGTCTTCAGGCCTTCAAATACATTTTTTAACTCTCATACACTTATCCTGCTGTCTCCACTCTTCACGTGGTGAGAAGTACCTGTAACACAGTGACATGCAGTCTGTATGCTCTCCATTTCTCTGTCCTAGTAGAGCAAATGGAACTATGTCTTTTTGGGGGAGATTGAGGGAAAGGGAAGTGAGCCTGACATGCTCTATTACCTTTTCAAAATTATTACCATAAGACAAACACGTGATTGCATGAAATTCTGAGTGCTATTGAGTATACTCTATTGCAGATTTTCCTATTGCAGATTTTCCTGTGACTGTAATATTGTGGTAAAAATTAAATAACAAGGAACTTGAGTGGCATTACAATTATTAGTAATTTTTTTCTCATTTTTGGGGGTGTTAGTTTCCTGTGCACAGTGAAATCATTCAGCTAGATTTCCTGCCTTTCCAGAACTCACCCTCATTTGATTTGTTTTGCATGGGCTGGAAGTTACATTAACAATGTCACTTGCTCTCTCAAAAATTCTGGGAAGAAACAAATCTGTCTGGGGTGAAAAACAAGGACTACAGGGCTTCACTGAGTAAAAAATTGTAAGTTGTGTAAATTAAACATAATTTTCTTCAAGCCTCAATATATTTTTATTGTTTGCTAATAGCATATCAGTTAGGCTTTAATGTCATAAAATTGTAGTCTATGTTGAATTTCTGGAGGTTGCCTAAATACATTTCTGTAGATGTAACTGGACAGTGTGGAGAGAAGTAGCCTACATTTATTTTCATCTATCCATGTGGAGATGGTCTGCATATAGAGGAGGAAATATATGTCCCTTGCATTTGCTTTAGTCATCGTGATGGGAAGGACCTCTTTACTGCCACTGAGGCTCTGTGAGCTGTTTTATGCAATGTGTTTGTACAGTAACAACTGGCTCAGGCTTCTACCACCAACCTTTTATTGGCACCTTCACAACTCAGTAAGTAATTTTGGATGGCAGTAGATGTCAGCATTTCCTGCCGTTACAGTCTCTGCCTGAGGTGGGTGACGTGTATTGTTATACCTGTGTGAGAACCCATACTAAACCACCTGTCTCTCTCCTGGGTGTATACCAATGTCAGCTTCTCCCTAGGCAGTGAAGGAAGACAGACAGTTGCTCATGGCGCTTTATACAATTGCTTGAGGTAATGCTTGGGCTCCTTAGCTGATGTAAACTGCTCTCTCCACATGCTAGCAGTGTTCCTTCTACTGTGTCAGACCCTGTACTCCTAACATAAACACCTTTGAAGTTTCTACTTCTAAACGTTGGTTGTTCTGAAAGATCTTTGTAGAACTTTTTTCCTTTATTACATTTTTTTTTCTTACATTGACAGTCTTTATGGTGCTTTGTTTTGCTGGGGTTTTTTTTTGGTGTGGGTTTTTTTTGTGTGTGTGTGTGTTTCACTTTTTTTTTTTACTGCAGCTGTTCTTTGCATGCTATTTATCAATATTTTTAGAAAAGTTGCTTTTTGATTATATGGTAATGAACTTTCTTCATTTGCACACATCATTTTGTATCAGTGCAGCACCATAGAGTGTTCTGATATCACTGTCACTAGTCTCATATTGGCAATATCAAACCTAGAAAATTGTGGTCACAGTCAGTCCAAGCCACCTGTGGAGGACACGGGTGCCATGAGCACCTTGTGCTTGTGACTACAGATATGTATCCTAAGGGACCTCCAATGGCTTGCTGCAACTCTAAAAAGGCATAGCTAACACAGGATTATCATATGAAATCAGTGACTTGACCTAGGCACTGAGGAGCTTGAAACCAGCATTAGTACCTATTTCAAGAGCAGAGCCCCCTTTTCACATATGTCCTAAAACTGACATAACTGAAGCCACAATTACATTGATGGTGTGAGAAATGTTAAATTGACATTCCTGGTTTTCAGTTTTCCATTTTCTGTTAATATTTGGTGACCCATTTTGTCTCTGAATATCCTCATATATTCACAGGCCTCCCATATCTTCACTAATCTGTGTAATTTACTGATACTAACAAACCATGCAATCTGTGTTCATATTTCATTCATAGTCAAAAGTACAAGAAAGTACAAAAGTACAAAAGTACAAGAACTTGTGTTGATCCTCCCACAGAATGGCTTATTATTAGTCACTGTTTATTCTGGCTTATTGTCATTTACTTCCACTTTTTAATTTAGTTTCCATTTTTTAGTTTATTTTTAATCAGTGACGGAATTACCTTTTATATATTACCCATGGCTCCCTGATTTTAATGGGATTTATATCTCTAAAGAAGACAACCACATTATCTGTAAAACTCTCATCTCTGCAGTTAAAATATTTTCTAAAAAATTTTCTTTCCAAATTCCTTGTTTCAAATTTTACTCCTTTTGACTTCCCTAGCATGTATTGAATATATTAAAAAGCACTTATTAAACAGTAAATACTTTGAAATGAAAAAAATTATTTTTTTCTGGTGTTGGTTGTGGTTTTTTTTCAGTTTCTTTCTTGACTTCCTTTCTTTACTCAAGCCCCAGTTTGAAATCTACACTCTGTGATATAGAATATCGTGCTTTCTGCCCATCCTTATTTGCGTTCTAAGCCCAGTGTGAGATTCATTGCTTCAATGTGGGATCAATTCTCTAATGTCAGAAAGAAAAAATAGTCAACTCATTCCTGCCTTTGGTTGTTACTCATGTATATGTGATTCCTGATGTACATTGTTGTGGTAGTTTGGTCTAGGCCTTCTTTGGTGACCAGTTTGTAGCGAAAGAAGTGCCCAGATTACCCGGTATTCCCTATGATTTTTACGTAAGCCAGGCTATAAGAAGAAAGGAGGAGAGGCCTTCGCTCTCTTTCCTTCCGGCGGCTTGGAGGTGCAGGTTCCCTGCTGTTGAGTCTGCCGTGTTGGGGAGCGAGGCCTGGTTAGCCCTTGTCGACCTTGGGAGACAGAGGTTGCTGGCGATCGTTCCAGAGCGACTCTCAGTTGTCCCAAGGAGAGTAGTGAGATATTTCTTTGCTAAGTATTTTAGTTGCTAGATATTGGGCTACTAATCAGGATATATATATACTCTATTTTGGTTTTGTTCCTTTTCCCTTCCCCCTTCCCTTTCCCTTGTGAAATTGTATATATATATTTCAGTTGTATATAACTGTAACATAAATGTAAATATATTTATATATATGTTGCTTTAGCTGTCTCTCTCGTTTCAGTTTTTCTTGGTTGTTTTTCTCCCTCTTCTCCCTGAGGTTTGGGGGGGGTGGTGGCTTCTTATCCTAAGGTTTGGAGACTTGGCAGGGAGCCAGCTTCAAACCATATCAATTGTACAAAGAGGTTTACAAGGAAAAGCCTTCTTCTGCATTTTTTTAATTGGAAAAGATACTGCATACATGTAGGCTTATATGATGAAAGAGCTGGTCCCGTTTGGTTTCCCCCCCGCCCTTGAATAAATATACCAATTTTGGGGGAGTTTTTTTGGCTTCCTGTGCTACATCCAGTGTTGGCTCGTTCATTTTTTCTTTCCACTAGTCCACTCACCCAAGCAGTCATTGCTGCAATTTTCCTGTCAACCAATCACTGACCACCTTATAGTTCAACTGTTCCTCATAGCTATATAGGCTTTTCAGACACAGTGTTGAATTCTTTATTTTTTTCTGGAAACTGTAATTAGTACTCAGGATTGTGATGAATAGGCTATAGGAGATAGTAAGTGCCTAGGCTGAAGATTTATGCAACAGCACGTGGGTACAATTTCAGTAAACAACTGAATGATTGAGGATATCACATGCATAAAACCTGATCTACTGCTGAGAAGAAATGAATTCAGGGGGAAAAAAACTAAAAGTATAATTATGAAATTGGTGAATGATGTGTCACAATGATTGCTACAGTGTGCTAATGTTTGCTCCATTTGATATCCCAGATATTAAAAGCAGTAGTTTAATGTGTCCTTGCCTCAGCTGACAGAAAGCTACAGAGAAGCTTTTTTCAAAAAAAATTTTAAAGGTTTACTGCATTTCTGGAGGTTGTTTTTATTAGTCTATTATGCGTTTTTATGTATTATTCTGTTCCCTTTCAAGTATGTTTTGAAAAAGTTACTTGTTTGCAAGCTGAGAAATGAAGGATATTTAATAGCATTCAAATAAGACATTCCCCTCTGTGTTTTAAATTCTGCTTTGGAAGAGGCACATAAAATACTTTCAGAAACAAACAATTTTTTATGTAACTTAGTTTTGTAAAATTAAAGTTCACAATATTCTGAAAACATATTGTTCCTGAGAGACAAACATTTCACCACTGCTCTTAGAGTAGTAATTCACAGTGACAAATGCAGCCAGTATATTTTGTTTGTTTAAAACTGTACATTTTGGGAGAGGAGAGAAAAGCACAAAACACATTTTAAGTGCCTTGAGGTGCCTGTTGTACACAGGAGACTCAGCAACTAGAATGCATCTCTGAAGAATAATCAGAATCTTTTGCCTTTGATAGTTCTTCTCCAGAGTGGACCTTATAAACAACGTACATCTACCTTCTGTTGAGCTTTTAAAGTGCTTAGAAAACAAAGACATAAGATTGCATATTCAAAACTGATTGGAATGTATGATTTTAGATGTAAAGATTTCAAATGTACATTCTTAGATACCCGAGTTCCTAGAGGATCTGATTTCCAGAAAATAAATGACCTTAATATGATCTGTAACTAAGCATACCAAAATGAAGGTACCCAAGACATGAAAATGGAAAGGTAAAACTTCAAAACACAACCCATGTCCTCAATTTCCAATTCCATCTTCCTCTCTGTGCTCCCACCTTATCATCTGGTGAAATTCCTTTGGTGACGTCATGCTCAGGGAACAAGTCTCACTTAGAAAAGGATTTTCTTTATTTTTCATAATTTAGCTGAACCAACACAAAACTGAATACTGTAAAGCAACAAAAATGATGTAACATCTTTCATTTTTCTGTGTTTACTAAATAAGGCTACTACACTCCCTTTAAAATAAATCAAAACAGAGAGTTGGTAGAGTGAAGGATCTGGCTCTTGAGGTCTACATGTACAGTAAATGTATTTACCATCATTTATTGCATGACATTTTAAACCTGACATCGGTCATTTATAGTGCAGTCAGTCCATTACACTTTACAAGTGGCTGGGCTTTAATTGCTACTTTGATACTGGTCAAAATCCTATGATTAAATAAGAATTTTGTATATATTTATTTTACTTGAAGACAAACTGATACAATACAGGTCATGTTTCCTGCAACCTCTGCATTAAATAAGCCTCAGCGTTTGAGCAGGCTTTAAAAAAAATTCTTTTATCAACTTTTCATTTTTGTATCTCTCATCTATGGTCACTTGAATAATCTCTATATATTTTTCTTTAGTAGAACAGAACGAGCATAACACTAAAAGTTAATTTGAGTATTAGGTAGTATACTTGAAACCATAACACATTTGCCAGGAAGAAATTAAGCTCCCTTGTTGATTGCATCATACCAATGTGTACCAAACCTATATGCCAAAAGGTAAGGTAAAAGGGAACAAGGTTTTGTTTCTCTGTTTTGTCATAATTTCTCCCTTGTCTATGCTGTCTTTGCTAAATTTTCACTAACCAATAATGCCGAAAAAGTGGACTTTCTAACAATGAGGTAAAACACTGAAAATGGGATCAAGGAACAGGCTTCAAACTGACCCTTACATAAAATAGGGGAGAGAAAGAGAAAGAAAGAAAGAAAAACAAACCTTGCTATGAAGAGCAATGAGTAAAATATTTTACACTCTATTTTTATCAGTACATAAAGACAAAAAATAAAAATAAAATAAAAATAAAAATGCCTTCCAACAGTGCAATGGTTGAATGCATTTATGTAATATAAACAACATTATTCTTTGCTTTTTCTACACAGTCCTCTCTGGTCATGCTTTACATCCAGAATGTCCCCATGGAAGAAAGCAAACGACACCAGTCACTTCAGAGACAACTGAAGTAATAAAACACAACTTAACTCTGAACCACTTGTCATGACTGTCAGAGTTATCACGTTAATTGTTAAATAGGATTTTCTACAAATATACAACATATAAAAACTGTTAAATATATAACTTTAGGCTTTTCAAAATACATTTAATGATCTCTTTCAAACAAATGTTACTTTTGTTTTCTCTTTAATTTGCTTTCTGGTGCTAAATGGTGTATCAGATGAGACATAGGCCACAGATGACCAAACATGCTCTTTGCAAATACTGTATTATCCAACTTTAACTATCAAAAATGGAACTGTAGAAGAGGCATGTTTAACTGGTTAAAACTGAAAATGATTTTAGTACGAGAAAGTCAATCTAAGTACAGAGGAATAAAGGTGCCGTGTAGACAGTTTGTGTTCTTTTGTCCAAGTTTTTCAAACATAGGTCATTTTCTCTCAGTGCTCCATAATGTTCTCTTGAACGTGGCATTTCAAGAGCAGGTCTCTGAGTTAGTTTTTACTGCAGCTTTCCGTAAAGACTTCTGCTGGACAACAACATTTCATCTTTTTGAAAGCTGGAATCATGTTTGTGGAGACCTCCTTCAATTAAATGACATAATTCTGTTAAGAGTAAGATTGTGTCCACTTTAAAATAGATTTTGCTCTTTGGTCTATTGTATATACTGAAAGTATAAGAAAATAAAAGCAATTCAGACAGTTTAGGGCACAAGAAGAGTTTCTCTTTTGCACCTCAGTGTCCTCCCATAGGCAAAACAGTCTTCTCTAAGGCTGATTGGGATGATACTCTTCATTGTAGCAGACTCTTCGGATTGAAACGTGTAGGTAACAGCAAGTCCAGCAGTGGTGTATAACGCAGATGAAACGTTAACCATGAACTTGTTTGTATTGCTAATGCCCAAGCATATCTCTTTTTCTGTATTCCTTAGTCCAGTGATCCTTAGAATGGTAGAACAAACTTTAGCTCATAATGTAGAGGAATTATGCTGTCACTCATGAGATACAGAGAAACAGACAGTTGAGTTGATGACATATAACGGATGATGATCAACAGCAGTGAAACTTGACTAAGTTAAGTAGCTCACAGAGAGCCTAAACCACTCCTACGAGGATTCTGTGTTGCTGCATTTGTCAGGAGACCTGTAAATCAATAAGAACAAATGAGTGAGTGTCTTAATCTATAATTCTGGTTATCTTTGATGTACATTATTTTAAAATACATTGTACTGATATTTTTCAAGGAGACAGTTAATGAATTTGAAGATATTTATTTTTCACGGCATTATCCCTGAGAAAAAAACCAGGAACAAAGCTATATTTTTATTATTAAAAAATTGTACTTTAATAATTATTTATATTAAAACTATGAATATAAATTATAATTTACAGTAACTTCAATGCCATCTATTTTCTACTAAGCTACATGCACATTCTTTTTCATAAAAGTCACAATGTTTTTTACACACATTAAAGTTACAAATAGCAATGTCTAATACACATGGCAATTAAGATTACTTTTACTTTTTATGTATAGATTGTGATGAAAAATGGACATAAAGCCAGGACCAGATATTAAAAATGCAATGATGTTTACACTGGAGGCTTTTCTGCAGCAGTTAAGTTTTCAGAGCACTAGAGTGCTCCTAATTTAATCAATACTGCCCTCTAGCGATGCTATTACAAGTGAAAATTAATGTAAATAATCTCTATTAATAGTCATTTTATTCAGAAAATTGGTTTAGTTACACAGAAGAAAAAAAAATCCTAAGAGAATGAAAATGGGCAAAGGACTGCCCAATGAACCTGTTGAAAAGACAGTGGAATGGAAGCAGTGTTTTGAAAGAGAAACAAAACCAAAATTCACACTATTAAAGAAATCAAGAGTACTGGAAGACAGCACAAACACAAATAAGAAAATAATGACTGATTTATACAACAAGGAGCCAGCTACTCATGCTCACCCAAAGTATCAGTTTAGAAATGGTTTTAAAATTACACAGATGCTGTATAAGACAAAATGTTTTGGGGTGTATTAAGCAAGCATGATTGTTACAAAATGTCGTTTGAATTTTGAAACACAAGATCTTCTGCTTTGTCATTGTTCTGTCTCCAAATAGTCAGAACTGTTATTACTGATGGAAATACCATGCAAAACTCCAGAAAATACTGAACAGTGAATGTGAAAGAGCAAAACAAATAACAAAATCCAATTCAATTGGTTCAAGCCATGTATTAAATTTTGTGGTTTTAACCTAACCCTTAGAGCAGCAAATGAAAGAAACACCTGCCTCCAAATCAACTTAGTGACAGCTTGAAACATATGGATCTCTATATATATGCATGTAGAAAGAGAGAGACAGAGAGAGACAGGCAGATAGAGGGATGAATACTTTCCTTATAAGGCATAAAAGTGTATGTCAGATTTCTGCTTTTGTCCTCTCACCTTTTCCAGGAAAAAACACCCCAGAAATCTTGCAAACAGTCTTTCCTTTTCGGACTAGTGATCAGATCTCCAAACCACATGGCCTCAGACAGGCTGAAGGCAAAAAACCTTGTTGATTATTGTGATATATTTCCCTTAAATATACTTTCAGCAAGAGAAATTATTTCAAAGTTTTGCTTCTATTAGTTGTTCTATTTCCACTTTATACCCCTTCTTGGGCCTTTTGCTATGCCCCCTCCTTTTCTTCCCATTAGAAAAGAACACAACTTTTAAGGTAGTGATACTTTTTAGGCTGCAAGACACAAAGCAAATGATTTATGGTTTATTGGGTCTGAAAGTAAACTACTATTGTGTTAAGAATTAACCTGACATAGCTCCATCTTTCCTTTATTATAGGCTGCAATGGCCCACAGCTACAAGCAACAGCATAAAGTGCTGATGGACTGTGTGTTCAGTGTTTCATAGCGTGCTTCTCTACCATACTGGTCCCAGGATGAAGAGAGAATTCAGGTACAACATGCATTCACAGATACCTGCTGCTTTGTCATCTTATGGGTACAAAAGCTTCCTTCCTGACTTGCTATCCCTGTCTCCACTTTGCACACCCCTGCTGCGTGGATATGGTATCAATGCTTTAAAAGACGAAGAGAAGAGGGGAGAAAATTATGCATTTTAAAAATGCTGAGGAAGGGCAGAGAGCAGGCTTGAAATAAAGTGATGACAGGAAGAGGAACAGATCAGAGAACGGGAGTTGAATTTACAACTTTGGACAATGACAGGAGAAAATGAAATGACTGGGGAAAAAATGCGTAGGTTAGCCAGGGAAGTTTAAACATCACTTATTAATGAAGGCATGAAAAAGAAGTAAGATAGGTAATAAGAACAACAAATAAAAAGGAGAGAGAAGATAAGGGAGAGCATGATGAGTCCAGAGAAGAGGAAGAGAATGCACACCTAGCCTTCCACCTCCTGTTTTTTCCCTTTCATTACTCAATACAGGTAAATTAATCACTCCCCAGAAAAAGAGACAGAGCAAATAAAAGAGGAACTTCTAAAAAAATGGAAAGGACTTGTTTACTACTTATAGCAGTAGTTCAAACCATTGAATAGAATCACAGAGTCATTTAGGTTGGAAAATAGTTTCAAGATCATCGAGTCCAATCCAGCACTGCCAAGTCCACCACCAAACCATGTCCCTAAGGACCACATCTACATGTCTTTTAAATACTTCCAGGGATAGTGACTCAATCACTTCCATGGACAGCCTCTTCCAAGGCTTGGCAACCTTTTTGGTAGGTACCGATGCACAAGTCTGCTTGTTGCTGATTTCAGTGCAATCAGTATTTCTTCCCAGGGCTTCAGAGAGCAGGTTCTGTTTCCTCTGGAAGGAGCCAGACTTTCGGGCTGTAAGTGTGAGCTTCTTCAACTTTGAGATACTGAGTGGGCATCTAGTACCAAAGATTAAAATACTACTATTTGTTATCTGACTGTTTACATGATAGAAGCCCAGGCTCCTGTGTGTTTCACAGAAATCTGCTCAAGAGTAAAACAATTTTTCCTGCTAAAAATCCAAAGCATGAAAAACAAGACAGTTCACATGACCATATTTATTTTAGTATTGTTCTTGGATGGCTTGAATATGTCCTGAGAGCGTTTGGCTTATTGGAGCAAATATAGCCCAGTGCACTTAATTTGTCTTACTCTGAAGAGAGTAGAATAAGGGTCAGTCTATCTCCAGCTTTGCCCTAATGGGCATAAAATAGTTAATTAGTTCATTCTTATGGTCAAAGACGAAGGATAAAAAAGTTATGTTAGTCACCTTGAGACGATAAGAATATATGATGCTTTGCTGACTTATACAGGCTTTCCACCAAAAGAAACCCACATATAAACCTCTGACTTTCTTTCAGTGTAGTATCTAGGATTGAATTTAATGACAAAATGTTTGAATTTCTCATCACAAACCAGAAAATTGAGCCAGGCTGCAGGTGGCAAATATTTTCAGATTTAGGTTTGAGTTTCAAGTATGTCTGGTCTGACCTTTCACTTTAAATGGAATCCATATAAATACCAACAATTCCATGTCAAGTCTGATAAAGCTTTAGCAGTTTCATCTGGTTTTCACTCTGTTTTCAGAATAAAAATGAAAGTCAGACTGCACCAAAGTTGCTATTTCGCTACAGTAACCAAGTGCACTTACATGACTACCTGTTGCAGTCAGATTGGTGCTCTGTAATGACAACTCTGGACTATCCAGCGCTGATTTCTGGGAATTTTCTGGATACTTACAAAGTATTTGATCATCATAAAGATGTTTCAATGTTGCCTAACAGCTGAACTACTTGTCCAAACTGTGTATTTTACACTTTCAACTACAGTCTTTAAAATGCTTCTGTGAGTCTTAGGATTCTGTATTGCATCCATCAGTGCAAATGGCTTTTCTTTTGGCTTGGGTTCTTTTTACACAAAGATAATTCACGGAGATGGATGCAGGTTGGGTCAGTCTCTGTCTCACACATCCACTCATAATGGAAACAGTTCTAAACCTTTTACCATCTGACTGCAAGTCAGATAAAAAGCATGTCTTTCCCCTCTGCTTCTGAGGCTCTCTGCTCTAGATCCTTAAACAACTAAGCATGTATGATGCAGAAAGAAAGATGTAAAAGCATTAAAATGCCCAAAGAAAACCTTACACTTCCTTGCAAGATACCTTATGCCTTATGGGAATAAAAATGTAAATTTCTGGTGGTGATCCAAGCAGTAGTGATGACCTGTTGCATTCATGAGAACTCCCATAGACCCTCCTGAAAATTTATTCTGTTTTCCTCCCTTCCTCTCCCTTTCTCCACGCTGTTCATATTTGAAAATTGAATTGCTTAGTCTTCAGAAAAAAAGGACAAGTTAATCTAACTGTAAAGTGTCTGTAGCTATTCGGAATAAGAAAAAGAAGCATGGAAGCTACTCTACTTAATGCTATATTCTGTCTCACTGAGGTAGCCATGGGAAGCACAATTTCAGAGTTCAAACTGTAGTACCTGCAGAACTAGGAATAATAAGATTGGACAAATTTAGTGTCTATGCTTGTGAGTGAAGTCTAATGTATTAGATAGTATATATACAGGTATATTTTCCTGTGCTGCACTCCAACAAAGTAGCCTTCATGAGTTACAGATAGCAGAATTTCATTATTAGCCACTTTCTAGAAGAAGATGCCTTTTCTTTTAACACCCACTGTATGTTTCTTTTCACTTCTTCTATTCAAGCCAGATACAGAAAGAAGTGTTTATTCCAACTCTGAGGCTCTTTGCAAAAGATATTTTTCTCCCAATAATAATTATTTTAATATCAATCTGTCTAGAACAAAACACAAAAACTGTCATTTCCCCTTAAATAACACTCCTAGTCCTATCTTTTCAACTTCCCCTCACTGTCTGCCAGGACTATCATCCTGATCATTAATTTCCTTTTCTGCTAAAATCCTCTTTGTCTCATATTACATTTTTTGAACTTACAAGATCTTGGAATATTCTGGGTCAGAATATACACTCCTTCCTTTTTCTGAATTGCCCATTACTTTATAAGCAATATTAGCAAAGGAAGTGCTTATAATTAGAAAACCCTTACAATGAATGGAAATGTTCAAACCACATCTTGTAGCCCAGCTGAAATACATTTGACCTTGGGTCATGTAGGTAAT